CTACAAAACGGATAGTTAACTTGTAGTTATATTATACACGAGCTTACGGTCAGAGCTCGACAATTTTCATCCGAATCAAAATTTATTCAATTTGTCCTAAGGCATAAGTATTATTGGCGGAAGTATTAGAGGTTTAGGCCGCGTTTACACTATGACGCTACGGCCTCTGGCTACGGCTAACACTCCGTTAAAAATTCACTACGTTTCTAGTATTAAGACTATAATTATTGTGTTTACACTATAACGGGCGGTTTGCCGTAGCGTACTAACTACGAAATTATATTGTTTTTACACCATAACGGAGTGGTTTGCCGTAGCGTACTAACTACGGAAATCAATTTCGTTAAAAATTCACTACGTTTCTAGTATTAAGACTATAATTATTGTGTTTACACTATAACGGGCGGTTTGCCGTAGCGTACTAACTACGAAATTATATTGTTTTTACACCATAACGGAGTGGTTTGCCGTAGCGTACTAACTACGGAAATCAATTCCGTTAAAAATTCACTACGTTTCTAGTATTAAGACTATAATTATTGTGTTTACACTATAACGGGCGGTTTGCCGTAGCGTACTAACTACGAAATTATATTGTTTTTACACCATAACGGAGTGGTTTGCCGTAGCGTACTAACTACGGAAATCAATTCCGTTAAAAATTCACTACGTTTCTTAGTATTGTGTTTACACTACAACGGAGTGGTTTGCCGTAGCGTATTAACTACGGACCACTACGTTTGGCACTCCGGATGCAAATCACTACGCTATGGTAAATTTGCCGTAGCGTCATAGTATAAACGCGGCCTTAGATTTTTACTTCCACTACCGCGACAACTACCTCAGTCTCACTTGCTTAGTCACACATCTGATTGGTTAATCGGATATATCAAACGCATTTGATTGGTTATAGGTAGCGGTAGGTCTGAACCTCTCTAATAACCTGCTAAAATAGGCAAACAATTGAGTCTCTGGTACATGTTTTCAATTCAATTTATTAAAACAAACTCATTTTCATCCCATTTCTATTAACTGTATTTTCATAATTATATTATTATCGATATCGCGTGTTTCCACAACAACGGCATGCATCGGACTGTGCAGAGGCATTACAAAAATTTGATGTCTTGTGAAGACGGCGTTTTAATCAAGTTTTAGCATTGTGTCAGTGAAAATGAAACTGCATGACGCATCAGCAGTATGGCTGTCTGGTTGGACTGCCATTTCTAAGTTCAGTCAGCAATATATGGCAACGTCAAACTTTCAAGAAGCGGGTTCCGAAGAGTCATCGTTGGTTTTTTATTTGGATGTGATTTCAAAGGACGATGTTGAATTAGACATAGCTATAGTTGGTGAAAACGGAAGTGGTAGATCATGTTTTGTCAACGCTATAAGAGGGTACAGTAAACAATCTGTTTCTTTGCTTCAACACTAACTTTAATAATTGCAAAACTTCGGTTGCAAAATGTCGGTTGAAACGTCAAATTTCTCCTTCTTACTATTGGCACTACTACCTACATTGGCACAGATTATTCAAAATGGTAGTATTAGTTAAACCTAAAGAATTGTTCATTGAGTTATTATTATTAGTTTAACGTCTGTAGTGTGTCCTGTTCATGTATTCCTTGCATTTTCACCAGTTATATTATAATTGCCGTAGCCAAACTGATAGTTCATATTCGTAAGGTGGTTCTTTTAAAACCTTATGCATGCTATTCTTGGTCGTAAAGAGATATTTCAGTGCTTGACATTATTCGCCAAATTAAGCAGAATCACCGAAGCGTAACGTATATATATATGTTGAAGATTGAATAACACCGTTAAATAAAACAGTTGTAGATTTCAGAAAATGAAGACAATTCTATAAGCTTCAATTCAAACTGACCGTCTTTTCTCCCAAAGTATTCTGTTCGCACGTTTATGGGAATTTAAGTGTGAAGATTAATACAACACACGACAAAACATATACGTAACAAGACGACGGGTAGGCATTTACTTGGGCGGCTCTGGTAAGTGGGTTGACATAGGCGGTTCGTGTTGACAGTAAATAACACTGCACATTTTGTGTGTTCAAAATTAACAAATTTAGTAGGCACCTGGCTACATCCTCTACCCCATTTCTCCTAAGAGGTGAGGTACTAAGGATGAACCGGTCACTCATAAAAACATTGCTTACTCGCGTGACATGTTTTTACCAAGAAAGTTCAATGTTTGTCACCAGCACTTGGCAAGTTTTAATCTGATCAGCCAATCACGTTCAACCAGCTCAAATGTCATCACAAGCATTGGACCAAATATCGATAAAAAAACATTGAACCTAATTTGTCGTAAAAACATTGAACCAAATCATTAGAAAACACAATGTTTCACCTGCGACCGTTCATGATCACTAACAAAACTTTATTATCCAATGACTCAAACTGGCAATGAGTGTGGTTATAAAAACATGGCAATTTTAAGTTAATATACAGCAATACAGCAGATGAGTTAGTTGGCGTATAAATGTTAGGTGGCGTAGAAATGTTAGCTGGCATAGAAACGCATTCGTTTATTATCCACATTTTACTCTTTTGGGAAACGTTGGGTCGTGAATGCAATAATAAAATTCGACTATAGGCTTTGTATTCATTTATAAAACTAGAGTACCTAACGAAAACGTGACTTGTCGTCACCACTTGGACCATCAGATGTACATGTATTAGGGCCAAGACAAAGATATACAGGAATTAGAGCCAAGACAAGATATAGAAGATACAAAAACATTCTTACCTAAATAAAAGGATGCTTAATTTACATATAGTCCATAAGGGTACTTTTAAACAAAGTTTAACTTTACTTTGTATTCACCCTATTCTTTGAAGAAAGACTTCAAAGACAGCACATGCCACACGCCTCATTAAAGCATCATGGCAAGTGTCATGGATGAAGAATTGAAAACATTGGAAAACATGGCCAAAGCCTCAAAGCCTCGTGTCCCCGACGCGGGCGAAACACGCGAAGCATCATGCGGAACAAAACGCAACATCAAAGATTCTGAAAAACAAAGCGATTTTATGACTTGGTCGACCATAGTCGCCCAAGTAATTACAAACTACACGAAAAATCTTCTGTCTTCTGAAAAAGCCAGTCGCATACGATTGCAAATTTTGCGGAAAACTGCGGTTGCACAACCTCCCTTCGTTTTTCCGCAAACTATGTCTATAGTCCCTGAGCCAACTGCGCGAAGCGCAGGGCCTTTTCTGCACACAGGTACGGGTACATTGAATGGGGGGAGGGGGTGTAAGAGAAATACTGCCTACTAATTTCAAATGCTAATTGGCATTTCTTTTCTCAAAATTGTTGGCGAGCAAGCTGGGGGGAGGGGCTTCACGGTTCAACATCACACATTTGCCGGACATTATAAATTTCATTTTTGTTTGAGTTAACGTAGCATTGTTTGTTTAAATTTTAGTTACAGTTATTAGATTTTTTATCAGTGTCCATCAAATGTTTTAGTTTCTTTCCTTCCTATCAAACTGGGATCAGATAATTTGCCGACTGCCTGACGATTTGGGATGCTTCATACCCACAACCCCTTTTTAGCGCCGCCCGTGCCTGTGCTGATTTTTATGAGGGAATGTCGAGAATGTGAGAGGTTATAAGAAAACAGGCAGATGCAGCTTTTTCAACAAGGTTGACGTTTTACTAATGATCAAAAGGGCCCAGTTCATCTGAAAATCATGCTTCATTACTGGGGCAAGCAAAGGGCCTACTGGGGGTATATGCCGCAGTAATTGCATATAGTTAAAAAATGCCCTGGAAACGAGACCATTAGCGAAGTCTAAAGTTCATCACTGACTGCGGGCGTAGGTCACTGTGCGTGCTTCGGTGGGTGGTCATCCTCACTGATATCATAATATAGCGGCATTATAACGGCTGCAGGACGACAGCGAAATTGATTTGATGATTTCTTGCAAATATATTTCATTTTTGCATGATTTTGTAAATTTCAAAACATTTTTGATAAAATAAAAGCAAAACAATTGCTAAACGAAGGAGTAAAAGTGCCGACGTTAACGAAGGTAAATTTGTTTTAAATATTGATGCATTGTTTGCTTTTAATATACTACATGTAAATACTTTAAAAACCGATCGTTGCGTATAAATAAGAAACAAGACAGCGTATTATTTCAGTGTTTCTTTATTAATTACCCTTTTTATTATATTATATTAAGCAAAGTTATTTGGCATGGGAGAATTTGAAAAACTAAGGGACCGGTCATTATTTATGGTGGGGGGTGGCACCGAAGAAAAATGTTTTTCGTGGCAAAAATTTTGCTGACCCAACCATTAAAAAGTAAAAAATTTGATTGCCCAACCTTGAAAATCAATTAAAAAATAAATACCCACCCATGCATGGCCAAAACTTTACAAAAGGATACCATTCAATTGTCACACATGTCTTTTACCCCTTCTGTGACATGAGTTTGATAACTGCTTGTGAAATGTTCTGCAGTCTAAAGTTTCATGTTGTCTGCACATGTACTTTCTTTGGAGACATCATTTGTCTTCTGACAAATCGGAAAATATCAAGATAGTGATTCTGGTAGATTCACAGATTGTATTGACACATGACTGTTGACATTGCTTTTTAGTCTTCAATATTTTAGTAAGACATGCTTTGGAAATGACAACATTTTTTTCTTACCCAACCCTTGAGTTTTTTTGTTTTTCATTTACCCAACCTTTTACTAACTCAAAATTTTGTTTATCCAACCATTTTCTCTTCGGTGCCACCCCCCACCATAAATAATGACTGGTCCCTAATCAGAAATCTTTTGAATTTGAACAATAGAAATTTCGGTTCGATCGAAAAATTTCGCCTAGTGGAAAACCGCCTTAAAGCAGTGAACTATATACATGGAAGGCTGACTTCAGTCATTGACGTAATCAAAAAGTGAAGCCAAAGATGGCGGATTTTGAAGCCATTCTTGCGCGTCATTCTCAGTCCCCTTACCCGCGCGGCCAAACATTTTTTGTATTTTCATGGCGGGAAGTGATGGGTCCGCGATTCTCGGGTTGTGTTTTTCTTCATTTTAAAAGAGCAAAAAAGGAAATAAACTTCATTTATTTCATGTAAACCTGATTTCCTTCATCTACTCGATCTGTCTACTGCATTTTCCCACTGTATGTGTGAGTAAATCTGTATTTTTTGTTGCGAATTCAACAACTAATTTCAAACTTTTTTGTTTTTTGATATAAAATCTGTATTTTTATAAATTGGCAATTTATTTTTGCTTTGGTTGTTTCGTTTTCTTGTTTCTATGGTGCTTTTCAGTTTTCACACCATTATTTAGCTTATTTTAGTCGGTTTTCCTGACCTAAAACTGCAGTTTTCGAGGCAGTTTTTAGCCAATTTAATTCCATATATGTTAGAAAATTTTGTTTTTTTATTTTCTATTTAATAAAATCACTTTGATGTTTGCCTTATAAACTTAAACTGTTCATTTTAATGAGTTATTCATGTGTGTGAAACTCTTGTCGATAGGGGCAATAAAGATATTTTGAAAGATTGAGTGACTTTGTGTTTTGTTTTGTCACTCCTTGTCATTTTACAAAAACAGCAATCCCGCGCTATTTTGCTTTCTTTTCACTCAAATATCACATTTCCTAAAGAAATAATAATTAAAATTTATAACCGAACCCAAACAAAATACCAGAATTCAACTTTTCATTCAAATTTCGTCTGTTTTTCACCAGATTTTTACTCGGAAAGTAAAGAAAAATATAAAAGTTTTGTTGACCGCGCACGTAAGGGGACTGAGAATGACGCGCAAGAATGCCTTCAAATTCCGCCATGTTGGCTTCACTTTTTGAGCACGAGTCAGACTTCCATGTTATATAGTTCAGTGCCTTAAAGGCGGTTTTCCACTAGGCGAAATTTTTCGACCGAATCGAAATTTCTCTTTGTTTCATGAGCTCTCGAGCAGAACTAATTGTAAAAAGACAAAGAAAAATTTCGTTTCGGTCGAAAAATTCCGCCTCGTGGAATCAGGCCTGAAGAGCAGTGCATTTTTTTCGAAATACAGTCCAAAAAAATAAAATACAGTACGATACAGTGCAAATTTCTTAATTTTTCTTAATTTTCTTATTTTTTATTTATTTTTCAAATTTCTTAATTTTCTTGATTTCTAAACGTGACTGCATAACTTTTTCATGTTAATAACAATAACTAACAATTTCGAGTTTTCCCAACTTCCACGAGTGTTGATATAACTATATATCAATACGGAAAAAATGTTTTATATTTGTTTTATAATATAGCAATGTCAAAAGCCCGAAGAATAAGAACAATTTCCGTGTTACAAGCAGCAGAAAATTTCCCGTGTTGACATGGAGTTATATCAACACGGCTCTTAGCCAATCAGCGTTCAGAATTTACAAATGCCATATTATAAATTACATTTATAACTACATTACATTTTTCTTTAAAGACTCGAAGAAGATGACAGAAATGCAGCAAAACCAAGAGAACGTGAAACGAAAGAACTCAACCTATTCGTTCACCCTGAAAACCCGAATATTCGTTTTTGGATACTTACCATGAGTATTCACGACGCAACTTTCCCTTGTCTCGAAATTGAGAAGTATGACGCATTTCTTATTTTCACTGCTGGTTTTTTCAGTGAAAGGCATAAGCAATTTGCAGAAATGATTAAATACAACAACCGGCCACTGTTTTTCATTCGAATTATAATCGATTACGACCTTCCTAAAGAAGAGGACGAAATATTGACCGAACAGTTGCTGAAAGATCTGAGACGTAGCCTGGCTGTAAAATTACAGGACCTTCATCTTGGTGAAGATGAAATCTATCTTATAAGTAATCACCACCCAAACAAATGGGATTTTTTAAAACTTACGAAAGCAATTGCAGATGCTCTGCCGTCTTCTAAAAAAGAGTGTTTTATCAAGATTCCGAAGATTCAAGAGTTAGTTGCCTCAGAAAAATTTCAGGATTTTATTCAAGGTATAATACTGTAATTGGTATAACCAGTTTCAATTTGGGATCCCGAATTGAAGAATGATTCATAAGAACGAATATAACGAATATAAAAACTATTATTTAATTTGTATATGTCTCGGAGCAACCAGCAACTCTTTTAAAAAAATTGGATCATTGCCTTTTATAACAAAGCCTAAAAAAACAATAATAAACTAAAGAGTATAATGCGACTTGCATGGTCGTGACAGCATTTCAATTTTTAACTTTCTGACACGTTTCTCAATCGCCACCAAAAAGCATGTTTAGCGCTTTATGTACTGTTTAATAAACGAGCAGGAGTGTTTTATACCAAATAAAACACGACCTTATTAAACGGCTTCAAACACGACTACAAATTCAATAGATATATACTGCCTTATTAGTATTCTTTATATAAAGAATACTAATGAGGACACGACTACAATAGATACTGCCTCGATCATTAGTATTCTTTATATAAAGAATTCTAATTAAGAGTGTTTTATCAGGTTTAAAGCCACTGCACGTGACATATTATGGTCGACATGATTTGCCAATAAGCTTATGAATTATTAATGATGTTTGAACTGTAAAATAATGCTAAAATGAAGAGATTTCATATGATATGGGGTCTTCACAACGTTCAATACATTTTCCTAAAATTGCTGTAACGATGACATTGATTTAATCTTATAGCACGATTATTTTGTTTCTCGACCAGCAGATGTATGAAAAGGTACCTTACTGCATAAACTAGAAAATAAAATTCAAACAAAATAATTTTGGAAGGTATTGTATTTATTGAATTCAATATTGAATTAAATACAAATTCAGAAAGATAATACAGGTTTTGAACGCTTTTCATAACGACCAATACGCGAGTTAGAAAAAATGGCGGGCTCTTAAAACCATTTTTGAGAACCTGATGATTCCAACGAAACAGCAATGCATAGATCTAATATTTAATCATCTAGGGATAGAAGCAAAAAACAAGAGTATAAAAAGATTCTTCGGTAACGTTCACGAAGTGGAACAGTCATTCCTGAGAAGCGGAATTGTGGGAGTACAGCGTGCAATGAAAAAAAAGCTAGAGCGATGGAAAGAGGTTACAATTAACCTTGCCATTGTTGGGAACTCTGGTGTTGGCAAATCAAGCTTTATCAATACTATAAGAGGGTAAGACTATAATATATTTCAGTTTTCGTGAGTTAAATTTTAAAGTTAATTAAAATACTCGTCAATAATTAACGAAGAAAATTCAAATGAAATGAATAATCAATGTTTAATCAATGCTTGGAAATCGGATAAGATTTGTACGGAAGCCGCGAAGGGACTTCAGACTTCGGACTTGAAGGGTCACTCAGCGGTGCAACGTGTCGGGCCTGTCGGCCAACATGCGTAATGCGACATGCGCGAGGACAGAAACTTCAAAGCTTCCGACGTATGTGGCCCTTCTGCATGGGTTTTTATTCTGCGCTTCAGACTTCAAACTTCGGACTTTAGACTTCGGACTTCATACTTCAAATTCAAAGACTTCAGACTTCAAACATTGGTTCCGAGCTTCGCTAATGGCCAACATTGCTTTTGCAAAGCTGGCTAATATGCTAATATTTCAGGCACTTATTGAATCAAAGCTATTCGAGCTAAAAGGAAACTGTTGGAATATGAAAATACAGTTATTTCATTTAAGGTTGTCTCCAAGCAAAGCGCAAAAAAGGCTTGCTGCATGGGAATCGTTAAAAAATTAATTAATTTCATACTATTAAAAAAATAAATAAATGTTATGAATAATAATAATATGTTGTAATAAATTTACGTGATAAATTTGTAAGTAACAAATTTACGTGATAAATTTATGTAAGTAATAAATTTACGTGATAAATTTAATAAATTTACAGCATAAAGTTAATAAATTTACTGCAGTAATAAATTTACGTGTTGTTTCCACAAACAATAGTATTACATGTTTTATCGTCTGCAAACCTACAAAGAATTTACTGACACATTCCAACAGTCTGCATTTACAGTCTAAATCATTCTGACCATTTTTGACTTTAGTAGTTGAATAGCTTTCAATGAATAAGACATAAGTGCTTTAATTTAAATATTAGCCAGCTTTGCAAAAGCAATGTTAGCTATTAGCAAAGCTCGGAACCAATGTTTGAAGTCTGAAGTCTAAGTCCCTTCACGGCTTCCGTAGATTTGTCATGATTTACATAAACTTCAGCTTTGATTTTCTCGTCTTAAACAATGTTTATTTTAATTAAATTGCTGTGCTGAGTGGTTATATTACTACCTGAAATAAACAAGCAGAAACTCGACGTTTCGAGCGAACTGTAGCCTGCGTAGCAGGCGTTTAGTGCGGGCGCGAGAAGAAAGGGCGTCGTTAAATAAACGCTTGCCCAAATGCCTCAATCTCGTTCCCAGAGTATGCCTGTTCGCGGGTTAGGTAGTGGCATGACTCTACAGGGGAAATCGAATTTTTTTATCCAAAATAAGATAAATGATGCATGCGCTTTTATTGCTTTTGTTTATTCCGCTTACTAAATTCGCGCGGGCACACGCTCACAATCGATATTTGTTTTGAACAAGATTCTCATCAGAATATAGTGTACAAAATGTTTTTTATACGTTTGAAGGTGCTTTAAATTGTACTACAATTAAATTATATTCAATGGAAAATACTGACAGAGCCATGAAAGCTGTTCTAACGAAAAGATGCTTGAATATTCGTTAAAAGACGAGACATTCAAATGTATCTCGGCCATTGTAAAATGGTGAAGATGTTTTGGTTGTTTTGCCAACAGGTTATGGGCTTATTGTGGCAAATATTAAAATATTTCAGCTGCTACCTGACGTGTACGACATGTTACTTAGCGTAACTAACTTAAACTAATTCTATCGTGATAGTCATATCTCCACATCAATGACCAAGGCATTTCTGCATGCATAATAGTATGTCAAAGTATGATACAAGGCCATTCTGTGTTACACTATATTATGGTGATGGCAGCGATATCAAATTACCATTGCATCGACATGAGAACCTGACGTATAAACTGTTCTATTTGCACCCAGAAATGTGTGTCTATGACAAGAAAATTACAAGCTTTTTTCAACTGTATACTGTAAACCTCTGAATATAATGCTCACCTCATTCCAAATATAAGCCCCCCTGAATATAAGTCCCCTGAATATAAGCCCCCTGAATATAAGCCCAGTATCACACTATGTTATTTAACATTGTCATTGTCTTTTAATATAGCAGAGAACGATATTTGAAACACTGTCATTGTCTTTATAGCTTACTATGTTAATGGAAGTGTGTTATTAATACATGTTTATTTTCCTGTTTATGACTGACTTGTTTATTACTAACACAATTGATTGCCCATGCATAAGGCCCCCGTGCATATAAGCCCCCCCCTCTCTAAACCGATCAAAAATCGCTGACAAAAGAATATAAGCCCAGGGCTTATAGTCAGAGGTTTACGGTATTATATATTTTAACAATAAACACATTATTTTTTATATTATACTACATTAACATTACACATGGAGCACATATAAAGTCTTTAAATGACAGTACATTGTGTTTGTAATTATAATTACTATAATTACTTGTGACGAAAGTAAGAAATGAAGTGAACAAATCCATATATATAATTGGGTATCTTCCATTTGTTTTTCATGCTTCACACTGTGTATCTTTGAACATTTAATCAGCAACTAATTATAGGCAAGGATGTATTTACTAGCTCATTTATCCATATTACCTGCAGGTACATAACATGCAATACATCAACCTTGCAACTGCAAGCCATGCTTTAGCCCCTGCAGTTGCCCCCTCTCCTGCAGCATGTTTGGGAAGGGAGAGGAAGGAATGGAGGTACTGTAATTTCTATATTTAGCCCCCTTCTCTTCGAGCCCCTCTCCTGCAATAACCCCCTTACTGTATTTGGATACAAAAATCAAAATAAATAAGCCCCCCTCCTCTTAACCATGCAGCCCTCATTCAATTAATTCTTCATATCATGAAATATATTGCATTTCTGTAGTATTTTAATAAAATATAAACAACGGTAACTCTGAATATGGACATTTTTTAATGGTAACCAGATTTATTGCATATATTTAGAACAAGCGCCCCCTCAATGATGCTTAGGAAACAACAATACCCAGGAGGCTTGATACAGAAATTAAAGTAGTTATTTGATTGAAACTGGTAGCTATTTCAATTCTACTGTATCTCCTTTTATATATAATTGGATTAATTGCCAATAGATTAATTGCCAATATATTCACATAGTATAATAGTTTGGAAATGGAATCAATACTTGTATATTTTTAGCAAATGAGCATTGTTATAGATCAACAATGACTCTTATTGCTATAAACAACATTGTTTCACATAGCAATAGACAAGGAAACATCTGTATTTAGATTCACTACATCCAGACACACTAATTCACTATATCCAAACACAAATTGATGCAAAAATTGTTTCAGGTTTGGCTTAGTTATAGCCTTACCTCGGGCTATTCCATTTAATATCCGTACCCCTTCGGGGGGTAAAAGGTTTTGAGTTTGGAATTCTTCAGGGGGAAACCATGAAAACCGTGTATCCTCGACAGGGGGTGCATGTACGGATATTAAATGGAATAGCCCATCATGCTGTCAAGTGGCAATCACTTACAAAGCAAGTCTATAACCAAATGTTTTACAACCTGAGGAACTTCTTAAATCTTATTATTCTATAATTTATACAGATGCTACAAAAACACCTGGCATCTTAAATGTATATCGATAACTCCATTTACAAAAGCACAAAGACCACGGGCTACAACATGTCGAGTGTTGACCATAATGTACTGTATTGTAAGCTTCACGTTTTTAACACAAGCAAAAGCTGTCACTCCAACGTCCTGGCAACAATATGTCAATTTAACAAAACAACGACGTGTGCGATGATTTCATTTAGCCAATTCTTTCATGGTTATAATGAATATACTCGTACTGTAGATCGATAAAAAGTCATTCATAAATACCATGCCATTTTTGTAAGTATATACCCGACGTCCCAATACTTTTTCATACGATTAATATTATATCCTTCGATTTATATTGTTTGATTTCGCATTCCAAATCTGATAAACATTGATAATTCTCTCTTCGCGGATGTCCACGCGTAATTCTCGCAAAAAACACGCATTAATTGTGTCGGCAGCATTGACGATCGCGGCAGCCAATCAAATAACGATTTCAATTCGATTTCTCCACAGTCATTCCACTACCTAACCCGCGAAAGGCATACTCTGGGAACGAGATTGCAAATGCCTATGATTAATTTGTTCTTCTCCGAAGAATCTTCGGAAAAGCTTCCCATTGGTTAATCTCGTTAACGGAAGTAATTGCGTAACTCAAATGTCAACAATAATTTTGCTCGCGTTTATAGTCGCGTATCAAAAATATGCCGCCTGTTAATACTTTCGAGGAAACTTTCTTATATTTCAAGTAATTAGGCTTCGAAATTCAGTTAAATCAGAACAGAGAAAGTATATTATTAATTTGCTACGTGGTGAAGACGCCGGTTATCGCGATTCTTCCCAAGGAATACGGAAAAGTTTGATCTTTCAATTATACATTTTAAATATATCTTGAATATTTCTTTAATATAGTTGTCTTGTTATCTGCTCACTTTAAAGTATAATTCAAGTCCAGATAGTTGAGGCTATATCACTTGGCATTGCAGCTATGAGGTTGGATGATGATTTGAAGAATAACATTTCAAAACATGCTCAAATGTTATATTTGCTATACGGCAGAATACGTTAAACAACCGTGGTTCAGGAGTCTTTTAAAAGATAAAAGCTCTGTGCACGTTGTGACTTATTGTTGTCTAAAATAGCTTCAAAAACTCATTAATAATTCATGACGAAAACAGAAAGAAAAATCATAAACGTGTCGTATCCTTGATAATTATGTGCTAGAGATTTCCCTTGATTTACATGAATTTTAATGATTTTCTCTACATATACAGACCGAATTTTTTAAAAGCTACTTCGCCAATGAACGTATACTAGATCGATCGTTTCTGAAGCAATTTAAAACATTCGCAGTGCGTGTTTTATCAGACCATCTTTATATCTGATAAAACACTGCTGCTTGTGTTTTAAATAGTGCATATAAAAATCTCTGCAAATCTCCGTAGTTGCCCAAGGGAGCACAGCAGTATTGTTTTCGAGACTTTCGTACCTGTATATGGCTGTAAAATCTCTGAATAGGTAGCCTTTGTCTTCTTTGGTTCGCTAATTTGCATATAAACACTAAAACACTGTATTTAAATTCGTAAACAAGCCAACAATTTCTTTATATTTTCGTATTTTTACATGGTCGTCCGCTGTACATTGTATCGCATGTAACGGTTTTGTAAATACGCGCGAAACTTACAATAAGAAATAGAGGGGGGTGAAACTGTGGGCACGTGATCAATATTAACCAATAACATTTCGGGATTTGAGAACCGCTTTCTCCAAGGTTTGTAGCAAAACCAAATGCTTACAATCAGATTAGAGTCGACTGTAAAAGCCTACCAAAAACTGATTTGTTCACAATTCGTAAACATTTCAACTCTGATTTCTTTTTAAATGTATTATATCATGCTTCTACTTCGAGAATATTGCCCAAGGCATGTTTGAGAGTGGTAATAATATAAATTTTGTCATTATTTATCAAACTGTGAATTGCGATTTTTACGTATAACGTATTAAACACCGAAATATTCCCGTTTTAGTTTATTGTATGCTGGTTTTATATGGATAATTTCACATTAGAATATTTGAAAATGGCTTTAATGTTATAAAATAACACAAAATATAACAAAATCATGACGAAATGTCGAAAATGTTTAGCCTGTTTAGTATATTAATGTACTGAAATATGATTTAAAAAAGACAAATATATGGCATACTATACGATCAACCACAGTTTGGATTAACTATGGATCAACTCACGTTAAAAACATGTGAACTGAAGCCAAGATTGCATAATTCCATAATTATATCTCGCAGTGGCCTGTGCCTAGCAACGGTTGCTGTGCCTAGCAATTTGCTACAGCGTCTGTCGAAAGATTTTACCGGATGTGCCCACAGTTTCACTCCCCTCCATTTCTCATTGTAAGTTTCGCGCGTATTTACAAAACCGTTGCATGCGATACAATGTACAGCGGACGACCATGTAAAAATACGAAAATATAAAGAAATTGTTGGCTTGTTTACGAATTTAAGTAGTGTTTTAGTGTTTATATGCAAATTAGCGAATCAAAGAAGACAAAGACTACCTATTCAGAGATTTTACAGCCATATACAGGTACGAAAGTCTCGAAAACAATACTGCTGTGCTCCCTTGAGTTGCCGAGCAAAAAGCATGCATGATGCTAAATATAAATCTCGACTATGATTGGATAATGGGTGAAGGTGCTAATTACAAAACGCCAATCATCCTTAATGGGCGAAAACAAATTTGTCATAGCCATTTGGGCAGGCGTTTCCTCTGTACCCGCCCGTCAGCTAAACGCCTGCTACGCAGGCTAAGCGAACTGCGAAGGCCCTTCGTCAAGAACTCTTGACGAAGGGCCTTTGCTCGAAACGTCGAGTTTCTGCTTGTTTATCACTAGTTTATCACCCTTGTCTTTTACATTCTTTATTTTAACAAACTAAGAAAATCCTACTTTACAAACTTGCGAGTTGCGCCACATTTTATTTATTTATGTACGTAACCACGCACATAAATAAATACATGTATTGCATTTATCTAAAGTCACGTGACCACGAATCAGCCAATCACGTTTAGTTTCAGCACCAGCTATATAACAAAATTGGTTATTATAAATTTCTAAATATAAATAATAAACATCTTGGTTTTTACCAATTTACCATATGAGAAATCTATAATAACCAATAATGGTAGAAGTTCAGTGTTTAGATTGACAGTATACACACGGTAAATTTAAATTTTTTCTGTGCGTCTTATTCGTATTAGCAACACACAGTAATAAAGACACTCAAAGCAGAGTTGCCTACAAAAGTAAATGCGCTGTATAAAACCTCTTGATTTTATTAAATCAGGTTGGAGGATAATGACCCATTAGCAGCAGAGACAGGTATAGAGGAAAAAACACAAGCACCAACCCCCTTCTATCATCCTACGTACCAGAACGTCTGCTTCTGGGACCTACCAGGCATTGGAACACCAACGCTGCCCGATATTGAAACGTTCTGTAAAAAGTTTGCCATCGAAAAGTACGATACTTTTCTTATAATGAGCGCAACTAGGTTCACGGAATACGATCTCCAGCTAGCAATGAAGATCCAATCCATGGAGAAGTCGTTTTTCTTCATTCGCACAAAGATCGATAACGACAAAAAAGCAGAGAAACGAAAGCTGAAGAAAGAATTCAACGAAGAAGAGATGCTGAAAACACTCAGAAATGGCTGTGTAGAAAATTTACAAAACTTCAATTTTGGTGAAGATAAGATTTTCCTGATTAGTAATTGGGCTCCAACGAAGTGGGATTTCGATCGTTTAAAGTTGGCAATCTTGGATCAGTTGCCGTCCAAGCAGAAGGAGTTATTAACCTTTTCCCTGTGCACCTGCTCGAAAACGTTATTGAAAGAAAAGATACAACTTCTCAGAGGTATGTGTAATTATCTGATGTTTACCCCCAAAAGAAAATATTGCTTATCAAGCGGGTTCACATCGATTATCTATTGAAGAAACCCTGTGACAACTTCTTCATTATTAGTTTATACGTATCCAATGGTGATAAAGTTTACTGTTCATAACGTGAAAAAAATACGCTGTCAACCTCATCCAACGACATGGTATACTGACAACATTCGTTATTCACATTCGGCAAAACCTGAAATCAACAATTCAATTAACCATAGAGATTATAAATAACCCTATAGAGGCATCGCAATCTTGACATCAGGTGGGGCAAATTCAAGTCCGGATGTGTACTCATGTTGCCATTGGTGAGCAGTTTCAATTTAGCCACAGAAAGCATGATTTTATGTCCGGGACCTAAATTCCCATTAGCCAAGTTCCCAAATTTTAACCTCGATGCCTCCTCTAGTGTTATTTATAATCTCTATGGATTAATCATTGTGTGTAAACGTACCTAAAGGATGTCTATTTTTCATAACCCCCGCCCCGACTACATAGAGCGTCTTGTAAATAATTCTTCAATTCTTATAAACGCTTATTTTTCAGGCAGGGTATGGATGACTGCAACTGCATCAGTTGCAAGCAAATTTGGCTTAGCGCCTTCACTTCGTGTTGATGAGAAATTGATTACAAGCAAAATCAAATTCTACAGATCGCAACTTGAGTTTCCTGAAAACAATTCCGAAGAATTTAAGATGTTGACTGAAAACCTACAGAAAAGAGTGGAAAAATTTTACCTGAAGCCTGACCAGCCTGTTTTGTCATGGTTAAAGTCGTTTGATGAAGGTAATGCGTACGACATAAAAATGTACGGGCCATTTATGGTCACTAATAAGCCGTTCAAGTTTGTACATAAATTTCTGAATTTGGTCTTGGACGACATGGAAGAAACAGCGTTGGAAATTTTTGATGAAGCGACTACAAGAGAACAGGATGACGTTGACTCGGACGAAAGTGAATGAATCGTGGATCTAATCGCAGGGTCACAAATATGAACATCATAACTTTGCCATCAAACTAATATTAACAGCTTAACTGAAATTTTATGTTTATTTTCTGCCTTTTCTGCATGAGATTGATGAGAATATTGGTTTAAAGATGCGGTACAATCCGTCTGTACGTATCCGCTTTGTTAATGTTTTACCATCCACATAATAAACATTATGAACGAACAAAACTATGAACTAGAGTGCTCAATAAAACAAAACTAGAGTGCTCAATAGATAACCAGAGCATAATAGAAAGACACAAAAACTTAGCAAGCTTTATAATAGTTTTGTTTGTGGAAACACCACGTAAATTTATTACTGCAAAGCTTTCGATCCGTAAGCCCGGATCATCATCAGTGCTAATAATAATAATATGTACATATTATTAGCACTGATGAAGATCCGGGCTTGCGGATCGAAAGCTTTGCAGCAATAAATTTACGTGGTATTTCCACAAACAAAACTATTATATATTTTATCGCCATGCAATCATACAAAGAACTTATTAGCAAGCTTTGTTTGGCATATTTATTACTGTACAGTTTGATTCATACCACGTAGCTAAATAACGTGGCACTCTTCAGATAAAATAGCCTATGTTTGACCTATACTTTCTAACGAACTTTTTAAAATATGTACAGAAGGTAAAGGATGCTTATCTAATTACAAATCAGTTAACACCTTAAGTAGTGTCACGAAAATATTAGTATCAAGTTATAAAGTTTTTAAGTAAAAATTTATTGGCGTGTCTACACATGGAGGCAAGTTCGTTGCGACGATTAAGTGTTGCAATGTCCGGTTTACAAATAATAAAATATTACTCCCAGATACACAAGTTACATCTCTTGGATGCATTACTGTAAGTTTTAACACGTTTTAAAATTTTCCATCTGATAGAGTAACTAATGCATGTTATTAACATCAGTTCCGGATGAATTTACCATCACATCCCAACAAGTCGAGTATGAACAGTCCCAAATTAACACACAGAAATCCACTGGGCCAGATGATTTACCCAATTGGCTCCTCAAGACCTGTGCACCTATCTTCAGTGATCCCATATCCTCTATATTTAATGCTTCAATCGCCCAAGGCTCTCTCCCCAAACGTTTGGAAAAGTTCCGACGTTTTAGCAACACCTAAAATACCCAATCCAAAGTCCGTCGAGCATGACGATCTAAGGCCTATAATTATTCGCAAACTATATAATTGTAGAATGCAGTATTTTCATGCAATCTCGGACGGGTGTTCTGAGGTTTTCTTAATAAAGATCATCATCATTATCATTATATCACTTATCCCTGTCCTAAGTAAAATACTGGAACGATTTGTTTTCCGTTGGCTGTGCCGTTATGCCTGGCCGCATTTAGACCACCCTTGTAGAACCAAACACTATTTAATTGCTATTTAATTCCTATTTTATTGGGCTATTTAATTCCTATTTGTCAAAGTATTTATTTCCTATTTTTACTATTATTTTTTTTCGAGGTTTTTCCTATTTAAATTGGGGTAGAAAAGCTATTTTTTTCCTATCCAAGTGGAACCATATTTTTTTCCTATTCATGATATATTTCTAAACAAATACTTAATTGATGTACTCGAATAGAAATTAAATAGGTTTCAAATATGATAAAAATAGAACTATTTAAGGAAATTATTAAAAATATATAGTTTTGACATAGTTAATAAATATGTATGAAATAGTTAAAACATAGTGACAATATAGGCATAAAATATGTAATAAATAGTTGAAATGAGTTTCAACTAAGTTTAAAATAGTCAATAAATAGTTGAAAAATAGTGATATTATAGTTTAAAAATAGATAATAAATAGTTCAAAAATAGTGATAATATAGTTTAAAAATAGATAATAAATAGTTCACAAATAGTGATGTTATAGTTTAAACATAGATAATAAATAGCTCAAAAATAGTGATAATATAGTGATAATATAGTTTAAAAATAGATAATAAATAGTTCAAAAATAGTGATAATATAGTTTAAAAATAGATAATACATAGTTCAAAAATAGTGATAATATAGTTTAAAAATAGATAATAAATAGTTCAAAAATAGTGATATTATAGTTTAAACATAGATAATAAATAGCTCAAAAATAGTGATAAATAGTGATAATATAGTTTAAAAATAGATAATAAATAGTTCAAAAATAGTGATAATATACTTTAAAAATAGATAATACATAGTTCAAAAATAGTGATAATATAGTTTAAAAATAGATAATAAATAGTTAAAATACATCCCAGCTTGTTAAAAATAGATAATAAATAGTGGATATAATATTGCCCAAATAGATTAAAAATAGTTAAAAAATAGTAATAACATATTAAATAAAGAGTTAAAAATATGTCCTGTTAATACAGTTAAAATAGCTATTAAATATAGTGTATACAAATACATATAGCCTATAAATATTTTTAAAATACTGTATATTATAAATACCAGTAGTTAAAACATAGATAATAAAAAGTTAAAACATATAATGTAAATAGTCTTTAAATAAAATATAATTAGTAAAAAAAATTGAGAACAAGTGTAGAAGTGCTGAAACATCAGAGGCTATTACAGACCTTACTTTAGTATTTACCGTCTGTAAATTCCAGACAATTTTACTTATCAGTAGGTAGAGGTCTGTCAATAAATGAGTTAAAAATCTGTAGTTAGCAGTCTCTTTGGTAGCCAAAGAGTTAAGTATATACATACGGTAACTTGGCTGGGGACAGGGCAGAAAAAAAGCAAGAACATCATGTAACATTAAGAATAGGGCGAAGCTCAGCTGCACCTAGTTCAGGCCTCTTTACAGGTTAGAAAAAACATTTATATATTTGAATAATACCCTGAATCTAGCTGGGTATTTTTCAACTATCCAACATATACCCTGTATGGAGCTGCATAGCAAAAACATTCTATCCTGCATACCCTACAAAGAACTTCATTCTTCAAGTAAGTAAGGTAAGAGCAAATTGCTCCTTTATAGGTGTTAATATTTAGGTGAGATATGGGCGAACATGCCACAGTCGGTAAGTAAAATTGTCTAGCATGAAATGTCAGAGTTAAATAATAATATCAAAGTACTTAAGTAGGAAGTGTTTGATGTCAACATGAAACATGGGCAGAGTCTAGTACGCTAGCTAGACACTTCCCTTGATGAATAAAATTGTCCGGCATTAGGCAAGATAACATTTAATAACAAAGTGCTGAATATTGGGCCCATTGGAGTGAAATGGGTAATTCCAAAAACAATCAAACCCTTGCTGGGGTGTCTCTAAAATAAATAAAATGTAGCCCAAAGGTTGTTACATATATTATTAAGCAGAACATGTGGTGTATTAACTAAATGTATTCATAAGTTTGAACAAGCAAACTAAGAACTTTAACTGTTTTCAGTTAGGGACACATCTATAATCAAGTTGCCACATATGACAACAACACATCAAATTGATATTTTTATCTATCCTAAACTCACCCACCTATATATGAATAAATATTGGAAACTTATGAAAGTACCAGTTAATTTGAAACCAGTCCACAAATTTTCTCAAACCATGTTTAGCTGGGACATGTCTGGGTAGGCATATGAGAATTGAGTAGATGCCATCATGTCAAGCTATATTATTTTATACAACAAACACTGGAATCTGGCAATCTGTCATATACACTATAGTATACACAAAGATCAAAGTATGCTATTTGGCATTACAATAAACATCATTTATAAATATAAAGGCTGAGTCAAATGTAAGCCATTCTATAAAACTAATGTTGTTTTAATTCAAATATTGTCGCAGCAAATTGAAATTTTAAGCCGGAACATGTGCTCAAAATTCACGAATGAAGATAGTAAATATTTCCTTTCAAAATTGCTCTATTTATATATAAAACATAACAAAATTCTTACCTGGATGTTTCCCAGTCATCCCTGATCTTTTATCTTTACAATAAGTAACAATTTCGCTCAATAAAAGCTCTGTATTTGAGCCATTTCGAGCGGAACGTTTAAAACAAAAAATTTTTAAAATATGGCGTTGTGAATTGTGACGCTATCCCAGAAAGCTTTGCGCGCGTTGTAAGAAAATTAGGCACCAGTCTGTCAAACTGCGCTCGTCGTAACAATTTTTGGTGGTATTCATGGCATGGTGTTTTGTCAAAAATGCTGTTTTGTCAAGAGACAAAATACCTACCTCCACAAAGTCCACAAAGACTATAAATATTTTTGTGAATATAATTTCAATGAACTGATGAAAAATTTAAAATTAACTAACTCAAACTGGGAAATTTTGACCAGTTAAATAAATACAATTACCCTTTCTAAATTCTCACAACTTTCTATTTGAATAGGAAATAAATAGCTTTTAAGATCTAATTATTTTGCTATTTCAGTGCCTTTTTTAACTATATATCTGGGGGGAAAGAATCCCTCCCCTGTAAAGCCATTTCTCCCCCAGAAG